GTCTATTGGTAGAATATTGTTGGCATATTCATAGATTCTAAACTTTTGAATTAGGGAGAAGGGGAAGATGCAATTTTCAGAATTTGTACATGTCCTAAATGTTTGGAGGGGAACTTCTAAAGAGGTGTTCGATAGTTTAGTACATACCCATGCAAGCCAGCAGTCCAGTGATGGCCTGAACATCAGCACCAGCAAAGATGTCCGACAGAGAATTGACCACGGGGAGACACAAGGTGTGGACACGGATCCTCCTCTCTCCTGTAAGACAAAGCAAATGTTATTTAAACAAAGAATTCTCACAATGGCTTTGAAAAATCAACGTGTGCGTGTGTGTGTGTGTACCTTTGCTGGACGTATAAAGCAGCGCGGCCTGGAAAGAGACGACTTGCATGTCGTCCAGGTTTTCCTCGATGGACATCTGAACTGCAAAGCCAGCGTCTGGGTTCACGTTGGGGAGGGACAACAGATCTGTGGAGCGCACAAAGAAGTTCCCGTGGAACGTGTGGATGGACAGACCTGCAGAGAGACAGAGACAAAGATTAATCAAGGTCGACAGATGGCGCACACACCTTTGTTTTTAAATGTGCTATATAAATAAAGTTGTTCTTATTAACTATAAACACAAAAAATGAGCCACAACAACAAGAAAAATGTTGACCGTAAATCAAACTTTAATAAGGGACCGCTCACCCCAGAAATCTAAAATCTATGGTTGAAAGAAAACACAAGAACCGTTTCTCACAACAAGGTCTGTGGATTAACTTGAGTAACCGGGTCATAACTCATAACAAGCTCGTTCCAGACGGACCTTTGGTGCAGCGTATCCTCATGACGGCCTCGAAGCCGATCTTCCTGGTTAAGTATCTCTTGAGATCCTTCTGGAAGCACTCCACCTGAGCGGGGTTATGCTGGTGGTGGTAGGAGGGGTAGTAGTAAACGCTCCCTGCCGAGTATCTGGATATGCAGCCTGGAAGAGAGACACAAGAGGGAGAAGATGCTGATCGTCTTATTATTAATTAATTAATTAAATATATATATGTATATACATACATACATACATACATACATACATACATACATATATATATACACACATACACACATACATACACACATGCATGCATGTTTTAAAAGCATTTCCCCCTGTCTAATAAGCACACAACATAAAAAATACTCTCATGGCAAATCCAGAATTAGCAATATCAGCTCGCAGTATTCTGTATTGAGCACTAATCCCTTCCTTACCGAGCGATGCCAGGTCGCAGTACTGGGAGCTGAGCAGAAACAGGTCAACCGCCACCTGCTGGCCGGAGCAGTCCAGAGCCAGCTTCTTGTAGAAGTCAGTCGCTGGGGATAAGTGCTGGACGTCCTGAAGGGGAAACAACATAAAATGATCGTTGAAGAGTCAGAAATACAGATTTGTTGTGAATGCGAGCTTTAAGATTCCACTCTGAATTAAAAAAACACTCTTGAGCCATTCTCTTCCTAATCGGGGACCAGCAACACATCACACTGACACGCTACTACTATAATGAGCATCGTCAACATTTGCTGTTCTGCTTCATGAATATTCTACTGTGATATCACCCGTTTTTAAATATCATAATACAGCTCTTTAACCCATCTGTATGATGTCCGACACACAACTCTCACCTTGGCATTCGCCCGTTGGTTGGGGTCTTCTCTGGACTGGAGCGTCCCCACACCGAGGTTAGGCAGCTGGGTCTGAAAGACGGACATGCGCCCTCCGGTGGGCAACAGCAGCTTGTAGGCTGCCTGCAGAGCTGAACCCAGGGCAGACTGAGTCTCCATGGTCTTCTCGAACAACGTTGGCAGGCTCTTCAGCAGATCCTGCACAAGCTGAAAGACAAACATAGGGAGTGAGTTTCACTTTTGAGACACACGTTACTGATCATATTTCATTTTTTTCTTCCATCGACAAGGAGGTCAGAACCCAGAGTGTGTGGCCACTGTGCAGTAGTTATGAATGTTAAGTCCTACACAAATAAATAAAAGCACACGACTAAGCTTAAACGAGGTTTTGTAGCTGTAAGCAAGGTACATTTTCTTACTTCTTTGCATTCATTGAGGTTTACTAGAAGGCTGTCTGGTGTTGGTAAAAAGATATCTGAGGAGCACAAAAGTTATTATTATTATTTAAACATGCATAATACAGTCACACTGATATCATGCTAGTGATGACAAGTGCAGCTGAGAGGAGACAATATTTGTGGAGCAGTTAAACGGACATCAATGATTAAAAAGCTCAGAAAAACTGAAAATAATCTTGATGATTTTTCTCAAATATCTCTAACATTTGTATATATATTTATTAGTAAGTTTGCACACATCACGTGTCCCGTTGCTGCAGTAATGAGCGTGGGGTCTCACCTTCGATGTCGGACACGATGAGCATCTGAGGCTGAGAAAGTCCCTCCTGGAGGTTGTAGAAGTGGATGGTGCTGTCGAAGGTGACGAAGCCCACCTTTGTCCGAGAGTCTCCAGGAAGCCTGAGACACAGATGCACACTTAAAAATGCTGTGCCGCCTTTACCAACATCTCTAACAACTGGAAAATCAAATGCTATACATACGCATCGATGTTGTCCAGCAGTGACCGGCAGAACACACTCAGGTAGCCCGTCTCCACTGCATTGTGGGATACGTCAAGAATGAAGAGGTAAACGGCAGGCTGTGGTGGCCTCAGCTGGGTAAATCAGGACGGACACATGCAGGGAAGGTCAGTGAAGACTCACCATCACAATCACACACAAGATTTCGGTACCCTTTGCACACGTTATTTAGCGAGTAATTGTCTGATTTAGTTTGTGTCCTGGTTAGGGATTAGAATCTAATTGGATGAATTACGTAATCAGTTATAATAAACTGAGCCTGCAGATAAATGTTCAGATCCTGAACGAGACCAATGTCAACGAAGCCGTTGAAACCTACCATGTATTCTGAGGGAGCGATGAACTCGATGGTGGCGTTCTGGACCTCGGGTCTTTTATGTGGCTCTCCGTACGATCTGCTGACTGGGTTGTACATAAACTCCTCCGGAACTACACACAGAGACACGACATCTAGTGAGGTTATAGTTCTTAAATCCTGTCCTAAATGATGTCCTTTTTAATCATAAAAGGAAAGTAGAAGGGGTGAATCATTACTAAAGCTATTTACATTTAATGTTCAACAGTCTGAAAGGTGGAAATGTGTATTAGAGCGGCACATGTATGCAAACTGAAATTAAAAAGTATACTTTTATATAATCACTAATAAATCATATAACAAAAGTAGATGTAACCTTCACTCGCTACAACTGAATATAAACAATATCCAGGTTCTATCTAAGATGCAAAGGCATGTATACGTTTCCAAAACCATCTTAAATAAAGTAAAAACAATAAATTAGAAGCAGAAGTGAGCTCACCAAGTTAAATTCCAAGCTAACAGACATTGTAGCTTCATAATGCTTCTTGAAAATTGTTAGAATTCAGCCTCGTCATTGTACTGTAGGTAGGCTCTATTATTTCGGCTCTTTGAGATGATCGTATCTCTTGCATCACCTCTCGACCCTTTTCTTACCGTCATTGACCCGGTGGCAAAGGTTGCACTTCCACCTCCTCTGGTCCAGGAAAGAGACAAACGGGTTGATGTAGGTTCTGCATGAGCGACACCTGACGATGGTGCTGGATGTCACAACAGGAAGCTGCTGCAAGGAAATCCAGAGAATAAAAAGCAAACCGAGTGAGAAGTGCCTCCGGGGCAAGTTAAACTCATTTTCCTTTACATGGGGTCTTTAAAAGTCGTTTAGAGCATCACACGCACACGGATAATTATTTACGTTGACGTAAATGCACTGACTGATGTGTGCGCACAATGAATATTGAAGTGAAGTGTTACCGAGAGGTCTTTGAAGGGGTGCAGCAGCAAGCCCAGCGGCATCTTGGCTTTATTGAGCAGCGACTGAGTCTGAGGGATGCTGGTCAGCGTACTACGAAAAACCCTGAAGAGACAGAAACAAACACACAAGAGTTCATCGTACTTGAAGTGCATCTTTCCACAAAATAATTATATTTTAAAAAACGCATAACATCACAGTAATATCAGTTTAAAAAGGATAATAACTGAAGTGAAAGAGAATAAATATCAACGCGTGCGGTCAACAGTTGTCCGAGGCTTACTCTGGGTTGCAGTTGATCTTCTGCAGGTCCTGTTGGAGGCAGGGTGTCGGGGCGGGGATGGGGATCGGTGGCAGCAGGTTCCTCTCCTGCAGCAGGTTGACCACCCTCAGGGCCTCCGGGGTGCTGGACTGGAGGCTCATGGCTGCCAGGGACGGGCTCAGTTGGGCTGGTCCTGGGCCACCAAGTGGCTGAGGGAAGGGAGAAGAACAAGCTATTCAGTTAGTCTATTTATCCAAATCCTACGACAAATCGGTTAGCATGGAGGGCCACCCATGCCAAAGCAGAACAAAGATTTTGTCTTTTATCCAACATTTTCTGTCTCGTCATTGCGCAGTTAAAGCACAACCGAAATAAAATTTGATATTAACAAATTGTTCACGGTTATGGGATGACACGGTTGTGCAACATAGAAACAATCAGTCCGATATATCAGCAAAACCACGTGTTTGCAGCGTCCCTAAAGTCATTTACTGGCATACATTTTTAAAAAGTGCAATACAAGTATATCACATAACAAATAAACTGTATGAAGAATCTGTGATAATGCTCAGACGTTGTATACATCGATGACAGCGTAACGTTTCCATATAGCATGAACACACAGAAGGGTTATCATTCCACAGCCATTAAGAATGAGCAAACAAACGGTGAAATGCTCCAACAGTAGTCAGTCAGCACACTGCTGGGACTCACCTGCTGGTATGGCTGAGGTGCTTGAGTGTAAGGCTGCGTGGCGGCCTGGATCGCAGGGTGCATGGCCGGAGCCGAGGTGGTCTGGTACCCCGGAGGGAGGGAGGGGTAGTGGCCCAGGTGCCGACCAGGTGGTCCCGGCTGATGTGGGCCAGCTGTGGAGGAGAAGGGAACACAAATGAGTTCAGTTTGAGGACCATTTGTGTGTAGCAGCTATGAAACCCTCTAAAGCTATACTGTACGTGTGACAAGAACCTAATATGTGGTAGAAAATGGCCTTACCCATTTTGTTGTCAACATGATTATAGCTGTTTGGTGCTTGTGGGCCATTGCCAGCCACAGTCCCTATTTAAAAACAAACACAGATGTGATGAGAATAATTCTAGTGACACTTTCCGCTATTTCTATCCCAGGCTGCTAACCACAGGCGATGGATATGGAATAAGAAGATATGATCTACGGTAAGATATTCACACAAGACGGACACAAAAGAGCACTGAAGCCAAAACAACAATATGGATGCCGATGATGGGAAGTGATGAATAACATTGGTGCTTCTAAGAGGCTTTTTAAGAGGTGGGAATGGATGATGGCTAGAGGCAAGCAGACTACGGATAGGAAACATGTTACCAGGGATGCACCGGTACTAAGAGAATGCTGTGCTAAAGCCGCACTAACACTCAGCTACATAAGCTCATTTTATTTGTAGTTTTCAAAACAGAATGATGCACCATATTAGCTGATGTTGCAGAGTTTCAATTTAAAAGGAAGAAAAAAACGAATTAGTGCATCCCTAGATACATTGAACGACACAGAGAGGACAGGATGGGCACCAGAGCACGGACACTAATAGCTACTGAAACATTTGGCCACACCTGGACATTCAATATCACCCTCCTGGCAGTCGTGCTCAGTGGGGGGCAGAGTGCTGTTAATGGCACCCCCACACTGAGCTGGCATGTGGAGGAAGGAGGGAAACAACGGAAGGTAATCAGAATAAAAATGAAAGGACACACAGTTACAGACAGCATCACCGACAGCGTTCAGATTTGACACAGACCCACAAACATTGTGGTTCAAACACGACATTTAACGCCTCACTATATTTGCTTAATTTGTGGGGGAGATGTCTTGACTTTGAACTTCAATGTTCCCACAAGCTTGCTAAGCAAGTTAAAACAGACCACGCTGTGAAATACTCTACTTAAAGTGCTAACGTCGAAGATTTTCATTTGCATAAATGTTTGTTAAGTCACAATAAGGTAACATAATGGGGATTGAGACTATGGCCGACCGACGAAGGCTCTTGTATTTGCAGTGTTATGAACTCGGTGTCTGTGGTGAAATGTCTGTGGAAAAATCGGCTCTATTTCCTCGTTTGTTTGTTTTTGTTCTGCAGAGTTGCTTCAAACAATTTTCAAAATTTAATTGCGCGTCTCGGCTTGCTGAGTTCACACCAGGCCGTTCGCACCTTTGAGACCACACGAAATAAATCAGACATAAAAAAGTTAATGTCTTTGTAGGTCGTTATACCGAGGACAAAGCACAAATATGCGCAGATTTTTAAAAAGAGCTCACCATCCGCCATGGGGGGTGGAGGTGTGGCATTGGCCATTGGGGGTCCAATGGGAGGCGGTGCTGGTTTCATGGTTGGTGGTGGGCCTGTAGGTGGGGGGCCATAGGGAGCTCTGTTTGGTTGGTATGTGTGGGGAGCCATGGGAGTCATTGGTGGGGGTGCAGTACCTGGTGGAAAGGAATATACACCATGTTACTAAGGACATGGTGTATCACCATGCACAGTTTTACAGCACTGACAGAAAAAGTTAAGAGCCAATTATGACAAATGATTACTTATCTACATGGAAGACTATCATTTCAGGGACAAAGGCCATCAAGAGTGTAAAGACTTAATTAGATTAGAGATCAGACTGAGAGGAAGCTGCAGGATAACGACTGAAATGATAATCCTCTTTACTTACATTCTGGACCGTCATTTTTTTGCATTTCATATCCGCAGTGTGACATTTTACTGACAAAATACTGTGACTGTTGATACTGGAGCCGATGACACTTTCAGCAGCTCAATCGAGCCAAAACTGTTCCAGATTAGTTTTGGGCTGTGACGTTTTAAAGCAAGAAAGCAGTCAACAGAGTTCACATCTCCACAAAGAGCTAAAAAATTGCTCCAGCTGGCTGATGCTTTCTTTCACTGTCACCATTGTACTGGGGAGATACGCCCTGATGGTGCTGCTGTGGGAAAGGTCACTAAAATCATGCAGACTCTTCTTGTTGGGGGAGTGAATGTGAACAGCCATTTTCAAGCCACTATGACCATAAGACCGGGAGCTATGCGGGGTAAAAGAGAGACCGAGGCGATCATGAGACCTCTGCTTCTGTGCAGAAGCACTGCACAAAAGATCGCTTATTAAAAATTCAAGGTTAATTTACAAAATGTTATAACGAATCATCCAGGCACTGTGGCCACGGATTACACAACCACCTTCATGCTCACATCCCTTAAAACCACTTCCTCCACAGACAATGTTAATGACTAGTTTGCATAAAAATGTACTCAAGACTCTGTGGGGGAAACCCTTAAAGTCTCACAAAAATAAATCAAATTACTTCCTGAATCTATCAAAAGATACACTTGTGTGCATCCGGCTATTATCCCCAGAAGAAAGCAAATATTTTAGCAATAAAACCTGTACCAGAAACTGAAATAAAAATTTAGATTAGTCTTAAAAAGCCACATCATGCTGCTACGCAAGAGTCACATCGGAAATGACAAAGATCTGACCTGAACTTTGTACAACTTCAGAGTAATTGAGTCCCTGTGCCTGGGAGGGAGTCAGAGGCAGCCAACATGTTCAAAGTATGAACAGAGGACAAGGTCCAGCGCCAACATAACAGCATTCTTGATATGAATATCTGCTGCACGTGTCAGTGAAAGAAGACAATGACGCCGAGACAAGACACAGTAATAGTGCTACAGAAAGAGTATTAGCGGGGGATAGTGGTGGCTATCTTAAAAGCACAAAAGCACACATTCCAGTAGTTAAGAAACAGGGACCCTGGAATGAATGGCCTAAAGGTCACTGGTCTGATTTATTGATACTTGGAAGGATGAGTCATCTTTTTATTAATATGACCCAAGGAGTGACTGCGTCATTGGAGTCTCATTTGCTCCCAACTTCTCTGTGTAGTCTTATAGTTCCTAATTTGCAAATTGTATTGTGCGTATGTATGAATGGTACAGTTCAGACTCTAGTAGAGCCGTTGTGTTCCTACCTGGCTGGGTATATCCGTGCAGAGGGCTTCGGGGCATCCCTGGGCCTGGTGGCTGGGGGACACTATGGGACACATGGGGTGGTGGTGGTGCAGGGCTGTAAGCTGTTGATAACGGTGGTGTCGAGCTTGCAGCTGGGTTCACATGACTCGACACTGGGCCGCGGGGATGTGTGTTAATGGAAGTGGGTTGCCCCATCGGTGGGAGAGCTGTGTTGTACTGCCATGCTGGAGCCATGGGCTGTGGCTGCTGGGGGTTTGTGTAGTAGCTAGTAGAAGACACAGCAGGAGGAGGCGGTGTGGTCTGTGCAGGGGGCAGCCTAGGACCGGGGCTGGCAGACTGAGGAGGGGTATGGGATGGAGGACCTCCCATTAGAGGCCTCGTCAACAGCAACTGGCCCGAAGGAGATGGGTAGGAAGTGAGCGGCGGGCCGGGCTGGTAGGAACAGACTGGGGTAACAGGTTGGTATGGCCCAGAGGGGTAGAGTCCAGGTGGGCCAGGTGGTGGGGGAGCTTTGGCCTGCATTGGATTGTACGTCGGTTGGTGAGTCATGCCGTAGCCGACCCCTGGCAGCTGCTGCGCGGCAACTGGATTCTGTGACGGACCTGGAGAAAAGAAAAATACAGGCATGTTAGAAAATCTATGAAAAAACAAACCACCCCTTAAAAAAGATGCAGTTCGTAGGATCTGGCTGCATCTAGGGGGTGAGGTTGCAACCAACTGAAACTTCTCCCATGTGCCAAGGGTGTTGGACAACTACAGTGGCTGACGCGGAAAACGTGAATGGCCCCTATCTAGAGCCAGTGTTAAGATTTGTCCATTCTGGGCTACTGTAGAAAGATGGCAGTGCAACATGGCGGACTCCGTGAAGAGGATGAGCCTCTTATTTACAAACTGTTCTCCAGCAACGCTGCCACTGTGGGCCTGTTGGACTCCCTCTTGTGTGCCAGATTACATAAATTATGTTCTTTCCACCATTGACCAGAGCCATTATGGAACGCTTGTGTTTCATATCCTCACATTTAAAAAGCTCAAAAGTCAAGCCACTAGCTTCCAGGACAGACAAAGCCAGCAATGCAACAGATTCCATGTCTGAAAAGGGCCTTTGTTTGTGATTCAAGTGTCGTAAATCCAAGCTAGTCCTTCGGGTTTTAATCTGAAACACAGTTCAAAAAGGCAAAAGTAAGACAGATGGCACTGTACTGGCAGTGACGACACACCAAGTGAAAACCACTCACATCCACCAAATGACCAATTGAACTGACAGCCGAGGGTCTAATCTCTTTACCATGATCTGCTCAGTGGCAGTGAGTGTGGGGGCTCTAAGCTCTAACCTTACTCGACAGAATACAGTAGTGTAAACCACCACAGAGACTTGAGCACAATTAAGAATACTTTGATTGTATAGTGTTCCGATACCAAAACCAGAATGTGGTATTTGTTTCTCAACTTCCTGAATGTTAAATACCAATACCAAGAACCATGGTGTCATGCCAATGTTAAAACAGGATCCACTCTTTTTTAAATAGATGCAAGAACTTAACAGCACAAACCGTCTCAAATGCTTAAATTGCAGCACCAGTGTATAGCTGTTTGCACCTTAAATCGAGGCCATTATGTAATCAGATTCAATACTATCCACTTAGCACTGCACAACTTAACTGGAAGCAGAGCTAAGCGAGTGTCAGAGTGAGAAGGGATTAGAAAACAGCTCTTCTCTATAACCAAAGATAACTAAAGACGCATAATCCACCTCAAAGCTTTGTCATTTCTGAGACACGGGAACATTTAAGAACTAAAATTCCCAGTCAGTCACAGCTCTTGTTGCTTCAGAAAAACCCTGATGTGGAATCAGAACTCTTTGTCGATCACAAATCAACCCACTGAAAGATAAAACATAAAGGAAGTTAATTTAAAAAAATAGCACCATTAGTGGGTTTATGATAAGAATATGCAAGAAATATGAATTAGTCAAGAGAATACAACTAGGAGCATACTACGTGAAGCTTATGGCCACACTATGATATTACTGTATCCACATCAGCTGTGGAAAATATAGTGAATAGCATCCTTAATTGACCCATCTGATTCAAACGGAGATAAGAATACAATTGGGGGGAGTAATAAACAATTAGAAAAACCACCTGCACTATTATAAACTCAAGAAGTAGAAGAGAGCTCCCTTCACATGAAAACCAGAGAGAAATATGCGAGTAAACTCAAACTGAAGTAGACAACTGGATGAGTGTGGAGAAAGCTCTGCAGCAACAAATCTGGATCATCCCCAATCTGCCACATGTACAACGTGGAAAAACAAAAATGCACAAGCTATCTAGCCTGTTACACATCTGTACTGCACAACAGTGAGGGAACAAATACTCCTGTAGATGGGATCATTCGCTAGCAGTGTAACTGTACAGGGAAAAACCCTTTAAAGAGACAAGTTGGGTGTTTTATTGTGACAGGAACAAGCCAAACTAACTGAGCAGCAAAGTTTTGACGGAGACAAGAGAGAAACAGAGACGGACAGAGAGAGAGAGAGAGAGAGAGAGAGAGAGAGAGAGAGAGACAGGTAGCAGAG